GAATTGCAACAATACAATTTTTGTATTAGTAGCGTACGAATTCTCTACGCGAAAGCTTTCGTGCTCATTAACAGCCATTAACAACATAATACCACCATCCTTTTCAGTAACTACAATTTCAATACCAGGTACTCTTATATAACGTAACAACAAATATATCCATAGAAAAGGTAAATCAAAACCCGAAGGATCAAAATCACCTTGTTTTCGTTTTTTTTTTTTTCTTAGGCAAACAACAAAATTGTTTTTACAACAAAAAAAAAAATATTTCGTTGCTCACCTGGGACTTCAGACTCCTTCGGGAAGAAGTTAGTGTCGTTGCGCTGATATCGCGCGATCACGCGCCACGCGTGGAAGAAAAGGGAATTAATAGAACTTGGACTTATTCGATATCCGATTACCGAAAGGCAGAAAAATCGAGGGGAAGGGGGGCGGCGGGGGGGGGGGGGGGCTGGTGGGCTGGGCGGGCGGGGGAGGGGAGGACGACCGACCGTTTCCACTGCACCTGGTAAACCCTCTCAGGCACTGACGTGATGTGTGTTTTGCAATGATATTATAAAAAAAAACAAGATTTTTGCTAACTTCGTGTAAACTTCGTAGGAGAGGATGCGTCAAGTGCAGCCGCGGCCGATCAACAATGCGTGCCCACGCGAGCTAACATGTTTTACGCGTGCTTTTTCTCTCCTCTTCTTGTCAATCAGGTCCGGACCCTAATCAAATTTAGGGGCGGGCCCAGAGCACGAAGTGCAGTGGCGGGGTGGGCCCGTCCATAGGAGGTGATCATCTGAAGCGTGGATGCATCATCGGAGCCAACATTGGTGCACCGGGGAAACCCATTGGAGCTGCGAATGCCGGATGCATCGCTCCCGGTGGCAAAGCTCCTATCATACCTGTAAAAGACGTACGGTACTCTGAATTCCGAATATATCGATACAACGATCTGCGATCTTTCTTTCCCATATCTTTCTTAAATTCTTTTTTTTTTTTTTTTTTTGTTAATAACATTTGCATGTTTTCAACGGTCTGTAAATAATCTTATGTACTTACGTCGCCAGAGTACTCATCAAATGTAAAATATCAAATAACGTGTCGCGCGTCTCGAATGCACGCGTTGCTCCCCCCCACCCTTCCACTTTTCCTCCTCTCTCCCTTCCTTTCCCTTCCCATCCCTATCCCTTCCCCTTCCCTCTCCCTCATTTGCCTTCTTGCTTACATTCGACTCGTATCATATTTCATACTTTTCTTTTTTCTTTTTTTTTTTTTTTGTAAGATTGCGCATCGTTCGGTAGAAAAGTATATCTCGAAAAATAATTATGGAATTTTGAAAGAAATTTTTTTTTTAATCATTACTGCAATTACTGCAACTTTCCCTTCCCCCCGCCCCCCGCCGTTTAAAACATTAATTACGATGTATAATTTCTTGCAATGCATTCCGCATTAATCTAGAGAGAATACTTGTTCTTTTGAACAGGAAGTTGTCTGACAGCCGATCGATGGCATTTCCTCGTATAATGTTCAAGTGGAATGATTTCTTTTCGTTCCTTTCGATAATTAAATCCAAAAATAACGCTATTAAATATATAACGCTCTAATTATATATTGTTTGTCTATATTAATCTTCATCTATTCTAAATGTGTTGAAATAATTGATTTTTCGAAATCAAATCGAATTTTCAAAAAAAATAAAATGGAATGAAACATATAAAAAGAAAGAAAGAAAATATCGGCATATAAAAGCAGCAATATTATTAGGTCATTTCATAAATAATATCGTTTTAAGAAGTCCAGTTTTAATTAAAAGACAACGATACTTATTCTTATTTTTTCATATATAATAAACGGTAATAAAAATTATCGTCAATAAATAACGAATAAATTAATCGGTAATAATATGCAATCAACCTATCATAATTCGTTTAATTCAATTTCAAAAAATTATTCGTTTATTTCGTTCGTTGCAAAACATTTTAAATGTTTAATTTTTTGAAATTGTCAGTAATTATAAAACATTAAAATTATGAACGTATTTTAAGGTGATATTTTAATAAGAAGAAAAGGAAAAATTTTTTAAAAATAGATTTAAAAAGTTTCTTGAAAATGTCTTCGAAAACAGTTTATCCAGTTAATCCTTACATATGTTATTTCTGATGTGACAAACTACAGATAGTATAGATTAAATAATATTTCAATCCAAGCGGCGTTAACGACCGATAAGAATTAATATTATTATCCGACTATTTATGATTATAAATTTATATTATTATTATTATTATTATTATTATTATTATTATTATAATTATTATTATTATTATTATATATTATTATTTTTACATTAAAATTAGGCTTCTAAAACGAAATATTAATAGGAATGACTCAGTAGCATTGATCTTAAATCATCTATTTACTTTAATAATGCGTTCTGTATCGATATGATGAAATGAAACAGTTTCGACTTCCTAAGACTACATTGTGTATCCATACGGATTTATTATTGGCAATCCACCTACGTTTAACTATGCGAGTGGTCAAACTATATGAAGAATTGAGTTCAGCATGCAATATGCCGCATATACAATGCAACTCACAACAAACTCACAAAAGTGATACCACGCAAAACCTCACACCATACATAAAAAAAATCTATTTAACGACTTATAGTTTTTATAATTTGAGCGAATCGCTCGGCTGCCAACCGATCTTCCAAAACGTTGCTCCAAAAGAGCAGTATATTTTTATATTTTTATAAATATAAAAATAAAACTTAATTTCTATTGTAAGCTTGTACATGATCTTTCTAAATTATCTTTGCTAAATTCAAAGGATTTTAATAATGTATAAAGCTTTACTTTGTTAATTATTTTCGTATTATTTAAATATTTATAATAATTAAATATTTATTACTTAAATTCAAATCTTTTCTTGAGAAATGTTTCATTCATTTTTCTTTTTAATATGGCACTGATAATTGTTGTTAATAATTATTGTTAATGAGTATAATTAGGAACGAATTTTAATCAATAATAATCCCCCCTTATTCGTCAATGTTAAATTAAATATATAATATATATTATATATCTGCTATTATAGTATGTATAAGTGTATATACGATGTACATATGTAGCATATGTGTATATATTATTATAGTTATACGTATATAACTATATATGTGTATGAGTAACATGAAATTAGTTACTTACTGTGAATTGATTTCAAATATTTAAAATTATTTGTGTAACACAAAAGCTAGGCTATGGTGTGAGGGAGATACATTACGTTCGTTCTCGTTGTAAATTTTTTGTTATAATAGAACTTATATATAATAATAATAACAAAAAATAGTGGCAATAATAAATGATCCCTTCCCTCTTTTCCTCTTGAAACATATTTTTTTTAATATTCAAGTACATATTTTGGTAATTTAAAAAAAAAATGTGATATTAAAAAATAAATTCATTAAAATTACCAAAATATACGTATACAGAAATATCTGACAAATTTCATGATAAAATTTGGAATCCCTGAAAATATATATATATATATATATAAGAAGGAAGGACTATTACTATTTATTAAATTATACGTCAGTTTTTCGTTTTTTCTGTTTTCCTTGTTTTCATTTTTTTATGTAGAATGACAACTTCGAACGACTGTCAGTACCGTGCCCAAAAAGCAATTTCTTTACTACTATATCACAACACCAGGATTTCAAGCTATATAATAAGAAATATGAAGAGATAGGATGGAAACACGGTTGTCGAGGTAATGGCAAGTGAGTCGTAAGAAGATAGAAAACAAAAGAGCTAATGGAACGAAAAAGAAAAAAAATGTATGTACGATGAACCAGCCGAGCGGCCGAAAATCGAATCAATTTCATAATAAGAGCTTTTATCAATTGCGAAAAATATATCTATAAATATATATATATATATTGTATAAAAATATATATATGTATAAAACACGTATTTCTCTATCGTAATTGAAAAGCAGGCATATGTGTATATATGTATATATACCGCGATTATAAAAATATAAATCTAGCGTAATCGTGCTTCTGATACCGAGTACTCTAGTTTCAAGAAGAGGCATTTCACGTCCAAAGAGTCGTGATGTGTCCAAAATCAAAGTGTGGCTGTCCGGCGTTGAAGGAATCAGAACAGATGCAATATCGTTGGCCGCTCGACCCACCTGCCCAGTGACAATAATATAAATATACAGAAATATATATAGGTATATTAATGTGACAATGATGACAATAATAATAATAATAATAATAATAGTGGTAATAATAATAATAATAATAATAATAATAATAATAATAATAATAATAATAATAATAATAGTAATAATAATAATAATAGTAGTAGTAGTAGTAGTAATAGTAGTAGTAGTAGTAGTAGTAGAAGTAGTAGTAGTAGTAGTAGTA